TGGTTTCCCTGATCACACCACTCGCATGCGTAGAACCCTCCACCAAGTAGGTCTGCAGTATTCAGGAACCCGTGAACCAGTCTGTTCCTGGTCCACAACCACTGCATCCACAGGACTGTGGACACCCCCACGTTCTGGTTTGACTAAGGACACAAAAGCATGGTGGGACAAAGTCAGGTTTCAAAGAGATTACAACCCAACAAAGAACCCAGTCACTCTCTTATTGAATAAGTTATCCTGCCCTCCACAACATTTTATCTCACAAACAAGGTCAACTTACTATACTTTCTTACTCCAGGCTTATGTAAAAGGCACAGATCCAAAGGGAATTATTACAATAAAATGTATTTCCCCACCTCAGTCTCAACCATCTGAGACATCCACATATACCTCACCCAATATTACAAATGCAGGAGATAACATACCAATTATGTCTGTAGATTACACCAAACTCAAACCTGAACAACTAATAGAACGTGCTACTGGCCATGGGGATGATAACATGTGGCTCTCATGGCTAGTTGAAGCAGCAAGAGAAGCTCAGCTCAGCAACTGCATTGCTTTGTTACAGCCCGACCGAAATTAGTCACTCAGCCCGCCCCATTGTTTCCTGAAGATACACGGGGTTATAACTGTATGCTAAATTTAACCAGACAAAACCCTGTGATAAATTGCACAACTCTGACCGATATCTACCCACCTATTCATTACAAAACACACCCCGGATCATTTAGACCTAATCAAATACTAGGCGGATACCACTGTTTCAATTTCACTTCAAATAAACCAGAGTTAAATTATGGAGAAATACAGCAAGATTGGTGTAATTTAACTTTAGCTGTAAAGACTGACAAAGAAGAAGATCAAACAATTGGATCCTGGGCCAGAGCTGGCCTATACTATTATTGTGGTGGCCAAAGATTCTCTGTTAAAATCCCCACTAAAACCAAAGGACTCTGTGCTTTAGTCCACCTCGCAGCCCCCCTAACCCTAGTAGGACACACCATAGCCTCCAACACTCCTAAACGACGTCGACGTTCTACAGATTTCAACCAAACAGACTCCAAAACTTATATAGACGCAATCGGTGTTCCTAGAGGCATTCCTGATGAATATAAATTAGCCAATCCCATAGCTGCAGGATTTGAATCTCTAATTCCTTACGTAACGGTGAACAAAAACGTGGCCAGAATAAATTTTGTTCACTACAATGTTTTGCGTTTGACTAACCTAACTCGCGATGCTGTAGAAGGCCTAGATGATCAACTTCGCCCCACCTCTAAAATGGCTGTACAAAACAGAACTGCTCTAGACATGCTTCTAGCTGAACAAGGAGGTGTCTGTCACATGATTGGTGATGAATGTTGCACCTTCATCCCCAATAACACAGCCCCTGATGGTAAAGTGTTGTGCGTTAAAAGGCATAAAGAATTTGGCCCAAGAAATGCAAGATGCATGAGGCATAAATGACCCAATCTCAAATTGGTTTGCTAAAATATTTGGACAATGGAAAAGTGTTGTTATGTCCATAATTCTGTCTATAATTGTCATCATAGCCATCTTCGCTGTTTGTGGCTGTTGTTGTATACCATGTTTTCGCACACTGTCCACACATATCATAACTACTGCAATGACCTCTGAACGACTGGCTGAAACTTATGTTCATATGCTTAAAAATACACCTGAAGACTTAGATCTGACCTTAACTGCAGAATCCACAACTTTTGTTTTGACCAACAAAAATACAATGCTGTAAGAAGTTTCTCATTTCTTTGCTTTATTTTTTTTTTTACTTTTATTTTGTTTTTACTTTTATTAATTTTTCATTAAAAG